AACAACAACAACAAAAAAAGCCCTACATATTTGTTTTAACATTTTTAACTGCATTTGGAGAAAATGCAGTATGTGCTAAGACAACCATGCATTATACAGGATCTGTCTTATAAACAAAATTCATACAGGTAATCATATACAAGTTGTGGTTGCTGTTAGATGCCATCAAGTTGGTTCTGACTCACAGTGACCTTTTAGAGGGTTTCCAAGGAGTGGCTGGTGGGTTTGAGGCACCAGTCTCGCAGTTAGCAGTCCAGTGCTTATCTGACGGTGCCACACCATAAGAGGAATCCATATAAACTGGTGGTCGTGGTGTGCCATAGAGTCAGCTCTGAGTCACAGCGACCCAGTATAGGATTTCTAAGGCTGTAAATCTTTACGGGAGCAGAAAGCCTCATCTTTCTCCCAAGGAGTGATAGGCAGATTCAAATAGATGACATTGTGGTTAGCAGCTCAACTCACAACCCACTACACTCCCAGAGATCCTTCATATAAACTGCAGTAATCCAAAGGATCTCTGTACAAAAGTAACTGAAACACTCATTCACACCTTGCTCAAACTGAGCACGTTAAGTAAGTAGACCAACAGGAGGCACTCACAGCTGAAGCTATCAGTGGTTCATCGTCACCAGAACAGCAGTGTTCCCTACTTTAGAAAGACAAGATGAAAGCCACTGAGTCCATCCTAACACAGGGTGACACCATATATGTCGAAGGAGGAGTGTGCTCCATAGGGTTTAAATGGCTGAAATGACGGAACAAGATCACCAGACGTTTCTTCTGAGGGGCTTCTGAATGAACTCAATTCTCCAACTTTTCAGTTATCAGCCAAGCGCCTTAGCAGCCTGTACCACCCAGGGACTCCAGTTCCTAATTTATTACAAATTAATCTCAATTTTTTTCTTAATTTTATGATCACTAGATATCTAAATATTTTATACATGCATTGAATAAAAGATAAATTTTTGGAAAACTAAACAATAGTTAAAACAATTTTTTTCAAAATGATTCTGCAGTGTACATGAGAAACAACAGATTAAGTCATATTCTCACCAGAATCACTAACAGAAGGAACATTGTGGATTATAGGCAACAAGGATGTTCACTGAAACTTTTCAGATCGTATTCAGTGTTTCTAAGTAAGCACTGGACCTTTGATAGCATAAAAGCAAAACTTGGTGGAATTATTTTAAAACAACAAATAAACAAAAGGAAAGTCTGATCTTACAGAAATCTTTGAGGTGACATTTTTTCCATCTTCTCCATAGGTTGGACTCACAGAGTGGGATCTCATTCGGAGCTGCCCCGTGTACTGTTCCCTACTAACAGACAAGAACAGTAACAATCAGAATTTTGGAAGTCAGAGGTTACAAGGGTATAAATCTAGAAATTCAATTTTTTCTTTTTATTTTTTTTTAATTTTGGGAAATGAGATGATTGTTTATGTTAATAAGGATGTAACCAGAAACCAGAAAACCAACCCCACAGCTGCTGATTTTGACCCAGAGCAGCCGCTAGGAGGGGACGACCCCCAAGGGTACCAAGGTTGTACATGACAGCCTCACTTTGTCTTTGTCAGTGGGATTCAACAGTGGACCTCCTGGTTAGCAGCCAAGCACTTAAACACTGCACCACCAGGGTTCCTTGATGCGTAAATCACAAAGAAAAACAAAATATAAACAGCAAACATTTGCATTTCCCACATGTGAATTCATTTTGATTGAATAAAATGTCACCTAAATGCCACAAACTGGCTTACAAATAAACGTTACTTTTCAGTGGGATCATAGTAAACCATATCTATTGATATCTTTTCTCATCCCTTCCCCTTTTCCAAAGTGTAAGAAGAGAGAACATGAAGCACACACGCTCAGAAAAGAGAATTGTTTTGAAGTTTAGCAGGTTTAGTTGGATTCTTGTTGCACATCAAGAAGAACAGGGAGGGGAGTGTAATCATTTAGATGAAACAAAATGTATGATTGGTTGAAAGTAAGGCTGATGATCTTGTCTTGTTTACTTTCACTCAATTCACAAAGGAAAGTTGGAATTTAAAAAAAAAAAAGTCTTAAAATGCATAAAATAGCAAAACCTTCAAGTAGCTGAAAGTGTGAATAAATTAGGAACGATGTAACAAAATCCAGGTATTTCTGTCCTCGATGATCTGTGCTGCACATGTGTTGTTGCTGCTATTAAGTGTTGCTGAGTCAGTTCCGGCTCACAACAACCCTGAGCAGGGTTTCCAAGTAGCAGTGGGTGGGTTTGAACTGCTGACCTTGTAGTTAGCAGTCTAGTTCTGATCCTACTGCACCAGCATGCTAATTCAGGTAAAATATGGTAAGTAAGACACTAGTTTAATCTTCGAAAGGAATTTTAACAATAACAAACTCTTCTCCAATAAAAAAAATACAGTAAAAAGTAACTATTCTCAAAAGTCCTACTTTAGCCTACAGTAATTCGTTATTATTTTTCAATATTGTTATTCAGTCTGCTTCAATGAACATTCACAATTCTGAAGAGCTGCTTCAAGTTGTACTATACAGAAATTAACCATTTTATAATGAATGAAAGTCACTAGCTTCCAATCGTAAACTGTATTAGGATTTCCTCCACAAACCATAAGGCACACTAAGGACCCAAAAAACAAAATACTATTTCAGAACAAATGTGATTTTTTTGGTAGCAAAGTTAATACAGCAATATTCTTTAAACTAGCTTTCAAATAATTTTAAATGTCTATAAAAGCTGTTTCAGAGAGAAAGTTGGTAATTGTTTAATACTCCTACATAATATCCCAGATATCCAGATGGTTAAAAGCAAATGAGAAAAAAAAAAAAAAAAGCATATGAGAAAAATAGGTAAAGTAATAATTTGAGAATAATTTCATCAGTCAGTGTGCTTTAGGTGACCTTGTTGTTGTTGTTATGTGCTGTGGAGTCAGTTCCGACTCAGAGCGACCCTGTACAGGGTTTCCGAGGCTGTAAATCTTTACGGGAGCAGAAAGCCTCCTCTTTCTCCCGCAGAACAGCTGGTAGTTTCAAACTGCTGACCTTGCAGTTCACAGCCCGATTCGTAACCACTACGTGACCTACTAGCATTTAAACTCAGTACTTGGGAGTACTTTGGACACGTTTTCAGAACAACCCAGTCCCTGGAAAGGACATCATACTGTATCGATAAGAGTATGGAATGACACGGTGGCTTCCACAATGGGTCAAACAGAGCAACAAGGGATGAGGATTACGCAGGACCAGGCAGGGCTTCCTTCTCGTGTACACAGAGTCATCATGAGTAGGAACTGACCTGATGTCACCTAACAACAACACAGCAAGTTGGGAGGATGCAAGCTGATACGCCATGCTAAGCTGTGGCACTTTCTTCTTTAAGAAAAGATTAATTCATCATCATTAAAAGAGCTATACTTAAAAATTGAAAAATGCTTCAATATTAAAAGTAATTCTTCTCATACAAAAGATTAATAAAAAAAGAGACCTGAAACATTTAACACTGTATCACACCAGGTGCATACATAAAACAGGGCACTCTTTGTAATTCACTGTAGCTGGCTGTACAAATCAACTTTTCTCTTCACAGTGCATTTCATAAAAGCTATTAGTCCACATCTTAACCTGTCATATGTTTTTCAATCAACTACATTCTGACTTCTATTCACCCTGAAACTCCTGTAAGGAAGGGCATCAATTATGTTATATACTGCTGATGGATCTCATTAACATATGAGACATGGCATCTTAAAGATGCTTTGTCACTGGCCCCAAAGAACCACTCTTCTCTAGTTCTCATGCAATCCTTCAGAAATCCATTTTACAGTAACTTTACTAGCCTTTCCTTCCCTGCTTACCGCACACATATTGTAACCCTATGTTCTTTTATGTTCACTGTATATGCTTTCCTGGAATGATCCAATACATCATGCGTTTTTCAAATAGTTGATTACCAAAGCTACATCTCCAGCCCAAGCTGCTCTCTTGACCTCTAAATCCACTATATAAGAACTAAATAGCTCTACATGCAATCCAAAGCAAAGATGTCACTTTCAAGACTAAGGTGTAGCTGACCCAAGCCACGGTATTTTCAGTAGCTCACATAATGGATAAGGAAGACCAAAGAATCGGTGCACTTAAAGTAAGGTGTTGGCAAAGGATACTGAACATACCAGGAACTGCCTAAAGAATGAGTAAATTTGTCTTGAAAAAAGTACAGTCAAAATGCTCCTTAGAAGCCAAGACTGCACGACTTCTCACGTACTTTAGACATGCTATCAGGAATAAGCAGTCCCTGGCAAGGACACCATGCCTGGTAAGGTAGAGGAGTAGTGAAAGGGAGGAAGATCCTCAACAAGATTAACTCAAACAGTGAATGCAACGATGAGCTCAAACACAGCAACGAAGGTGGAGTAGCCCAGGACGGCGCACTGTTTCATCTATTGTACATGAGGTCACTATAGGCGTTAAAACCAACTCGATAGCATCTATCAACAACCACCTCCAATTCAACATGTCCAAAACGAAATTAATTATGTTGCCCCTAAAACATGCTCCAATGATGGCCAAGGCACTGCGGAAGCCAACTCCTCATGAAGGCAGCTGGGCCAACTAAGGAAGGTGAGTATATCGCTGCTACAATCTGACTGACGAAACGAACGCAGGACAATTGGCATACAGCGTTCATTTCTTGCCATGTGACTCTCTCCCCTAGCTGGACTACTGGAACTCTATGCAGATACAAGAGAAATCAAATTCAGATGATGGGGATGGAGGCCAGCGTGAAAAGTTCAACCCTCTTCTTTACAAAAGCCTACAAGTGGCCTAGGAGGCCTGGCCACAGTGAGCTCATGGTGGCGGTACTTGTGCCAACTACTAAAGGGGAAGGGAGCCCAATTCATTTCAGGGTGCCAAAATGAAGACAGAAAAGCTTAAGTCCATGAGCAAAATTCCCTAACATCCAATTGTCTCTTCAGCTCTCTTAAAGATAAAAACTGTAAGAAATATACTTTTTTTCTCCTTTTCATTTTACCCTATTGCCAAAATATTTTGACAGGAATCCAGAAACACTCTCCCAGCATCTATCTGATTCTAACTAAAGAATACTGACTTCTCTGTAAAGATGAACACACATAAACAATGACACATAGAGCAACACTGAAGAGCCTAAAGGAAAACAAGAAATTAAACGACATATTGCATTAGGCAAATCTGCTGCACAAGACCTCTTCAGAGTGTTCAAGGGAAAAGATGTCAGTTTGAGGACTAAGGTGTGTCTGACTCAAACTGATAATTTTAATAGCCTGATATGCATGTGAAAGTTGGACAGTGAATACGGAAGACCGTAGGAGAATGAATGCATTTGAGTTATGGTGTTGGAGGAGAATACTGAAAGTACCATGGAACAAACAGATCTATGTTGGAAGAAGTACAGCCAGAATGCTCCCTGGAAGCCAGGATGGCCAGACTTCGTCTCTCATACTTCAGACATATTGTCAAGAAGAACTAGTCCCTAGAGAAGGATATCATGTTTGGTAAAGTGGAGGGTTGGAGCAAAAGGGGAAGACCCCCAACGAGATGGACTGGCACAGTGGCAGCAGCGATGGACTCAAATATAGCAATGATTGTGAGGTTGGCATGTACCTGGGCAGTGTTTCGTTCTGTTGTGCATAGGGTCCCTATGAGTTGGTACTATCTTGATGGTACCTAACAGCAGCAACAACAAAGGAAGACCAATCAAATCTCCTCCTGCAAAAGAAAGCTACTGCAAAAAAAAAAACACAAAAAAAAACAGAAAGCGTATAAACTGTAGATTTAATTTGTATTCACTATGTGATTCAAATAGACATTTCATAAATAGAAAGGGAATGAACAATCCATGATCACAGAAATGTGCTTACAAATGAAAACTGTGATTAGCAAATTTCCAAAGCACAATGGAAGAAGAAACTAACAGAAAAACACAGCAAAAAAACCCAAGTCAGCAAATTGTAAACCAGTTCAACAAAGTCTCCAAAACACAGAGAAAAAAGGTAAATGGGTAAACATAATAAATAAAAAAGCAAGTGAAGAGGATAGATTGAAAACCTCTAACACTGGGATAATAAGAGTTCCAGAAAGAAGAAAAGATCAGAAAGTGGCAAAACAATAATGAAGGATTTAGTGGCTATGCCAACCAAAATTGTATCAGAAAAGAGCCTTTAAGAATAAACTTATGACACCATTTTTGGCTGGACTAAAAATACAAGGTAATGCAAAGGATGGAAACAAAACGGAAAGTCAGCAGATTATTTCAAAGAAGCAACTGGAGACAGCAGGAA